ATATTAATATTAATAATATTATATATAAACCAATTTGTTTAACAACCTGGTTGCAGGGATGAAACTCAGTCATTAAACAAGGAATGTCTATAATAGAGATATTTTACCCACATAATGAAATAAGAAAAACTAGAGGGAAATGAATGTATGATAAAAAGAAAAAATAATTCCTTATTTTCAAATCGTATGATAGCACACTTGAAAGAGTCCCGTGAATGAACGATAAAACTAACTGAAATAGCAATTCAGTGCCGCATCACAGTGCAGGGTTAGTACCCCAAAATTAGCAGCTTTGAGCAATACATGGAGTATAATGCTGGCAAAGCCCATTTGCAATAAGATTACGTACTTGGGATCATTTAATTAAGTGTGAAAGCACAGAGATATGTGAAGAACCCTTAAAATGCTCCTGAAAGACACAAAAGTAGAACTAAACAAATGAGAACGTGTCCCCTGCACGTCAGCATTATGAAGCAATCAGTTTTCCAGAAGCTAAGTTACGCATTGAACGCAAACCTAATTTAAAAAAAAAAAAAACAAAAGCCTAGGCTGACAAAACAGCTCAGTGGTCTAAAGCACCTGCTTAGGCAAGCTTAGGCAAGCTCAGGGATCGTGGTTTGATACCCCCAGGGCTGGCTGAGCTGGCCACGAAAAAACAGAAAAAAGAAAGAGAAAAAGAAAAAACTCTGACTCCCTTATTAAGTGCTTTGAAACCGGTGTGCATACTTAAATTTCTAACACACACACACACACACCCATCAAGCTATTTTAAGAGTTGGATAAGTTAATAACAAAGTTCAGCTGGAAAAATATACTTTCAAAAATATCCAAGAAAATATGAAAAAGAAAAGCTAACAAGGAATTTTTTTTTTTTTTTTTTTTTTTTTTTTTTTTTTGGTGGTACTGGGGATTGAATTTAGGACCCTGCGCTTGCCAGGCAGGCACTTATTCTACTGAGCTATCTCCCCGACCCAAAATATATTAACTTTTTTTTTTTTTTTTTTGCGGTACCAGGGATTGAGCTCAGAACCCTGCACTTGCCAGGCAGGTGCTTATTCTACTGAGCTATCTCTCTGGCCCACAAGGAAGTCTTAACAGGTATTACAACATACAGTAAAGCCTCTGCAACTAAAACAGTGTGGCATTAGTGCTAGAATAGACTGTTGTACAGAAGAATAGAAGAAAATTCAAAGTCACAGCCAGGAGCTGGGGAGATAACTGGACGGCCTAAGTGCCTACCTGGTAAGTGCAAGGACACAGGTTCAATCCCTGATACTGCATGCCGTGCTGGTCTTGTGCTGAGCCGGCCATTGAAACAGGGTGTGGTGGCACATACCTGTAATCCCAGCTCTGGGGAGGCTGAGACAGGAGGATCATTATGAGTCAGAGCTGTATAGCCTAACCCTGTACCAAATAGATAAAAGATTAAATAAATAAATACTTCTTTAAAAAGTCAAAGCCGGGCATATGTGGCAATTTATTATGGAATAAAGGTGGCATCTGAGAGCATAAGTTTTAAATGTCTGTGAGACCACTAAAGAGCCACTTAGCAAAAGATATAATTAGTTGCACATCTCATGCTCCACAAAAGAGTAGCTCTGCCTGCATTAGGTATCTAAATGTAAAACTGAAACTGTAAAAGTATCAGAAAGAAACAAGAGGGGGCCGGGGAGATGGTTCAGTGGGAAAGGTGCTTTCCTAGCAAGCGCAAGGGCCTGAGTTCAATCCCCGGTTCCACCGCAAAAAAAAAAAAAGAAAGAAAGAAAGAAACAAGGGTGAATATCACCTTAACCTCTATGTGAGGAAATGACTTTTGAACTATGGCCCAGAGTCCTGCAGTAATTTTAAAAACCTGATAAATGAGACTACATAAAACTTTAAAATTTTTTCAGTCACCATAAGTCAAAAGACAGAAGCGCTGGGAGAACTTATTCTTGACCCACACCACAAAGGTCCATATCCCTAATATACAGGGGACTCTGAAAAATTAGAAGATTGCCAAAATCCCAACAGAAAAATGGGGAAGAAACACAAGGAGACAGTTCAGGGAAAAGCAAGATAGAGAAGAGGCCTTCTATCATGAAATAAGGTTCCAATGCACCATAATTAGAGAAATGCAGATGAAGACAATGCTCAGATGGATCTTCTTTCCTGCTAGACTGATAAATGTTAAACATGTAATGGGACAGAACATTCTGCTGGCCAGCACTGTAGAGAAACAGACCCTTTGTGGCTTGCCGGGAGAAATACAAATTGGTGCAAGTCTTCTGGAGGGAAATTGAACAAAAACAAAGCTACACCTGTGTCTACTTTTTGAGCCAGCAGCCCCACTGCTAGGAATCCACCCTGAACATAGCACTCAGTGGTAAGGAATGCATGGGGACAGATATGGTGGATGACAATTGGTAGTCAACATGTAACACCCAGTTGAACTGAACCACGTGGTGCTGAGTGTGGGAGGCCCACCTGAGGATTGTCGCTGGCAGCATAAGAGGCAGAAATGGACAGGAAGAAGTTTAGAAGCTGTTGAGAGCTGTTGGGGAGGCTGTAGGGAGCTGTGAGTTCTTTGGTTCTCTTGGAAGAGCTTGTCCTGTTGGCCTTCCTGATGAACTCAGTTGTTTTTATTGTTGAAGGATCTCAGGACTTTGTTGTCGCTGAGAATGGCTACAGTTCACTTTGGGGAAGCTCTGGTCCTCGCTTTGAGCACTGCTTTCTGGCTGCAGAGGGGAAAATAGTACACAGCTCCTGGAGAAGCTTGTTGCCTTGGCTTTGCTGATGGGAACTCAGCCTTCCTCATCATTGGAACAGCTTGGGACCTCACTGCTGCTGAGAATGGTACCTTTTTGAGGGAGCTCTGGTTCTTACTTTGAGCATCGCTTCCTGGCTGCAATTCAGGTCCCTCAGCCTGCTAGCACAGATCCTTCACCCCACTGGCATAGACTTTCTAGCTTCGAACTCTGACCTTTGGATCTTCCCAGAGCAGATCTGCAAATCATGCCTGCATGAGACTTTCCCACGGGTGCTAGGCCTCCAGGTGGAGTCGTGGGAGGCAGTGTTATGGGCTCTAGGCCTTCAACTAGGCTCACAGAGGACAGTACCATGGGATCCAGGCTCTCAACTGGATTCTTTGGTTTTTAGCGTTTGGACAGATTTCCTGCATTCTTTGTATATGATTCTTTGGGTGACTATTGCAAAATATTCTTATAATTCACTGTCCTGTTGTTACCCCTTGCAAAACTCCAAACTACAACACCAGAGTTAGCCATGGCAGCATTACTTCTGCTTGCAGAATACAGGGTGCACTTGCATCTGTACACAGTGGGGGCTAAACACATGCCACATCTGCACATAGTAGAGCTTGTGCAGTTCTGGGAGGAACAAGGAAGTGCTCTGTCCACGAATACAGAGGAGTTCCAGGATGTACACTAAGGTGCACACAGCAAACATTGTATACTCTTCATGGACAAAAGGAGAGAATTTAGGAAAATACACATCTGTCCACATTTGTGCAAAAGAAATACAGCAAAAGTCAACCAGAAACTAAGAGATTGGTCACCTCACACCCATGACACACAGAAGACGGGAACAGGCTGGGAGAGGAGGCGTGCTATATCTGTGATTCTCAGAACTGTCCTCATCACAATAAACCCACTAAAGTGACACCTGGTCTTGTGTAGAAATATTGTTAGTATCAGTCAAAGTGGAGGAAGATTCCTGCGATGGCTCTGCTCTGTGGCAAGGAAACCAGAATGCTTGCTTCTCTGCAATAGTTCTGAACACCTGTAATGTCCGTGGGCCCTGTGCTTTGAGGACTCCTGGTGCTGGACTTTTCCTGGGCCTAGCAGATGACATTTGTGACCCAGTTCCTTCCTGTCCAGAGCACTGGGCGTGGTGCTTCCCCAGTGGTGTCTCCTTCCTTGCCCATAAACCTGATTTTCCTCCTTGGGAAAGGGCTGTGTGTCTTTCCTAGCAGTGCCAGTGCTTTCTCTCTCTCTCTCTCTCTCTCTCTCTCTCTCTCTCTCTCTCTCTCTCTCTCTCTGTCTCTCTCATCCCCCCTCTTCCCCTTTCCCCTCTCCCTCTCTCCCTCTCCCTTCCTTTCTCCTCCTCCTCCTTCTCCTTTTTCTTTCCTTTCCTTTCTTGTCCTCCTCCTCTCTTCCTCCTCCTCCTTCTTCCTCCTCCTCTTTCTTTCTTTCTTTCTTTCTTTCTTTCTTTCTTTCTTTCTTTCTTTCTTTCTTTCTTTCTTTCGCTTCTGATGTTCTATGATTCTTTGTTGACGGCGAAGTGAGATACTTAGATGATCTCGAAGCCCCATCTAGGCTTCCTCCTGAAGTTTCCTTCCTTTGTGTTTCAGCAAAATTGTGCAAATGCACAGCTGAACAATTTCCATTTTGTCTTCGTTACTTTTCTTTGTGTCAACCTCAGCTGCAGATGTAGTAATGTACCAGGAGATTGTCACAAGATGCCAGGTAGAAGGGCCAGCTTGGGCCCATATTATTTATTTATTTATTTATTTATTTATTTTTATTTATTTATTTTGTCCAGGGTCTTGCTACACAGATTGGACTCATAGTGATTCTTCAGTCTCAGCCTCCCCAGGGATGGGATTATAGGCATGTGCCACCATGCCTGCTTTTGATGCCTGGCATGGTGCTCCTGGGTTTCCAGGGCTGGCACGGCATGCAGTACTAGGGATCAAACTCAGATCCTTATGCTTGCCAGGCAGGGGCTTAGACCGCTGAGCTATCTCCCCAGCCCCCCTGGGCCCATATTATCAACAAAGAACCTGACCACAGTCATGGCCCTTTCCTCTTCCTTTGGCCTGGGGCATGCTGATGGTGCTGGCCTCTCTTCTTTCAGGAATGACAATACCTGAGGAAGACGCTGATGTGGGACAAGGCAGTAAATATTGCCTGGTGGCCATTGGGAGACTCCAGGTGAGAGAAAGCACAGTCTTTTCGTCTCTGCTGAGGCTTCCAACTGTAAGGAGCAAGAGACTGGGACTGGGCGTCCGCACAGAGCTCCAGGGCTTGGGGCTAGTGGGGTTGTGCATCTCATTTGGGGTGAGGCTGAGACCAAGTGTGGGAGGAGAAGTGGGCAAGTTGCACAGGGTACTCTGTTGACCCACTTCCACCTCACTGGTCACTGCAACGAGCCCAGTTTGCATCTGTGCCCCCTCAACCCCTTTGTATGTCCCCAGGTCCCAGGCTGAAGCCCAAGGTCATCTTTCCAACCTTTCCACCCCCTTCCTGTCCTCGCCACATCCTGTTCCCTGACCATACCCTCCTCGCCATGCTTCTACTGCCTGCCACCTCTCCTAGTCGCTGTCCCTGGGTGCCTAGGAGCCGGTTCTGCTGTCTGCTGTGTCCTGTCTTCTCCTGGAAAATTTTCTCTTTGTTCTTCTCACTCTGCAAGGACCTGCTCAAGTGACTCCCAGCCTCCTAGTCAGAGCCAGTCGGCCCCCTAGCCCAGCACCAAGTTGTGGCCACCAGGATCACCCTCCTGTGGTTTGGCTTCCTGCAGTCAGCCAAGCGTATGCTCATTCTTAGGGTCCTGGGGCAGGGAACATGTCCTTGTACCTTATGACAGTCGGATAGGCTCAGCGTGTGACAAGTGCAGGAGCCGCTGGGTCACCTGGGCCGTTCACAGTGGATGTGGACGAGGACCCTGACCTTTCCTGTCCCTGGTTTCCAGACAGATGAGCAAGTGGTTTCATTCGTGTCCACTGAACACTAGCTGCTCGGTATTGGCACAAGCTGTCTCCTTTCCAAAGGCGGAGCAGTTGCCCTGGGCTCATTGGCCATTCAGTAGAGGAAAAGGCAGGAGAAGGGAAGGCATCATCACCTCTTGATCACCAGCGGTGCCAGGCGTGCCTGCAGGATTCCCTGCTCCGTGTCTCGCCAGCTTCACCACCCTGTGAGGTTATAGGTGCCATCAGTAGAGGGCACAGAGGCTCGGAAATGCAGGGAAAGTGACCCGTTGAGCATGATGCTATTTGTACCAATCATGTGGAAGTCTGTGTGGGACAAATCAACATCCCTGGGCATCCTCCCTCTCTGCCACTTCATCTGGGCCATCCTTGGCGTTGTCGTCTCCCCCATGCCTCTGTTGGTGCCACTCAGCTGGGCTGTCCCTTTGCAGGTGACCAGCTCCCCCGTGTGCATGGACATGAATGGGATGTCAGTGCCCACTGAGTTCCTGTCCCGGCACAACTCTGATGGGATCATCACGTTCGTGGACCCGCGGTGCATCAGTGTGATCGGCTACCAGCCCCAGGTCAGGAGCCAGCCGTGCACTCGTGCTCTGCCTCAGACATGTCCATGTCCTTTGTTCAAGGTAGACACAGTGACACTGTGGAAGAAGCAGGGACACACGTATGTCCTGCCTGGACAGGTTCATTGTAAGCAGTTGCCCTGCTGAGGTTGGCTCCTCTTCCCTCCCCAGCATTATTTCTCAGCTGATTTTTCAAACCAGGGTTCAGTCTGGATCAGTCTGGTGTATGAAGTTTATTAGCAGAACAGTGTCTGCAAAGCCTTATATAGAAGCCACCTAATTTTGCTAATCCCTTCAGGAAACCTCCATAACCTGGGGCGCATTTTCAGGCCTTTGTTCTAGATTCCTTTGAAAAACACAGTGACAGAAAAAACGGAACAAACATAAGTGTCCTAGGTCAGGACTAGAGAGACAGAGTAACTCTGTACAGTGTTGACTATGCCCTGAGTCTGGAGGTGTCCATCTGGAAAAGAGGCTTGAGACACAACTTAAAAAATTAGCATGACAGAATACTGGGTGATTTTATACTAACTTTTTAAAATATAGTATGGTATATTGCGGTTTTGCAAGTTTCCACCCCAGGATCAAACTCAGGACCTTGTGCTTGCCAGGCAGGCACTTAGGCCACGGAGCTATCTCCCTGGCTGCAAGATAATTTTTATAATACATGCTAAAATACTCTGGGGAAATGTATAATGTTGTGTGCCACTTACTGTGAAGTGGTTTAGCAAGAAGTTATTAAATATGAATGTGTGTATATATATGTATACATGTGTGTATATATATATATATTCACATGTGTATGTATATATATATACATATAAGAAGAAAAAGGAAGAAATTGAAATAGTGGAAAAATATTGACAGTGTCTAAATCTAAAGGATAAACAGATGTTTACTATACTATCCTTAAAACTTTTATATAGATTTAAATTTCTTCCAAAATAAGAATCTTTCTTGTTGTTGTTTTTGAGACAGGGTTTCACTATGTAGCCCAGGCTGGCCTCCAACTTTTGGTGGGCCTCCTGAGTTCCGGAATTGCAGGCATTCACCACTGCACCTGGGCAAAAATATTTTTTAAAAAGTCCATCTTTGTTTTAAAGAACCAACTTTAGGATGTGTATATTTTAATTACTCGTGTATTTTATTTTTTGATGATGCTGGGAGTGGAACACACCCCTTGTGTGTATCTTAGAACTAGAAATAGGCCAAAGCAGAAATATTAGAATGCTTCATGTAATTCTGCAACTCTAGACTCGTGGAAACTTTGAGGTTCTTATATGCCATAAGGAGAAGCGATCGGTTTCCTGTTCCACCCTAACCTCCACTGCAAAAGCCACTAAGCTCTAGACAAAGCCATTTATCTTCTTCCCCTCCAAGGGCCACCAGGTACCCTGGAGGAGCCGATAAAGACTTCCCTCTACAGCCAGCCCAGCTCCCATGCAGACAGCAGGGCTCATGGGGGTTCCGGCTCAGCAGTCACCTCACATCCCGTAAGGCCCTTCCAGCCCGACCAGGTTCCTGGAACATGAGCTAAGCTGCCTCTGCCTTTGATGGTTTATTTACTGCACCTCGCTTTGTGATGAGGCACGCTTTTGTTTGGGGTCAAGGCTGGGTCCTTTGAATCAAGCAGGCGTGTGAAGGTTTGGAACAAGCAGGCTTCCAGAAGAATGGTGGTTTCACAGTCCGCTCATTTCCTTGGCCACAGAGAGCTATGACGGCCACACCTAAACAATTTCAGTTTTCACAGGCAGCGCATCTGTCCCCCTCTTGTTTACTTTTGATGTTTATTAAAATATGTTGACCACAATTGGCCTCACTAAGGCAAGCAGAAATAAAATTACACTCTGGAAGGTGCTGATCTAGTGCATTAGCAAAATTAGAAATTATTATGAAATGTACCAGAGGCACTGGGAGTGAATTTGAAGAGGCTGGCTCTGTAGTGCCGTCCCTTTTAAAGAAAATCCTGCTGAGACAGGTCAAAGGAGATGAGTTAAAGGACCTGGAATAAATGCTTTTGTCTATCAGTGGATGGATAAATAATCAAACATGAATTTGGACTCTGTGGCACATGTCTGTAACTCAGCTATGTGGAAGGCTGAGACAGCAGGATTAGAAGTTCAAGGAAGTCAGTGGAGTCTTGTCTCAAAAAAATAAAAGAGCTGGGACTGTACCTCAGTGAAAGAGTGCTTGCTTAGCTTGTGTGAGAGCTTGGGTTCAATCTTCAGGAGTGAGAACGAAGAAGAGAGAGGAAGGGAGGAATGAATTAATTTGGGATCATTAAAGTTTACTCTTTTGTTTAGGACCTTCTGGGAAAGGACATCTTGGAATTCTGCCACCCAGAGGATCAGAGCCACCTTCGGGAGAGCTTTCAACAGGTACAGTGAGGCCTGTGTACTGTGGTACATAATCAGCACGTGTGTGATGACCAGTGGAACATGCGTCCTACTGTGTGCTGGGAAGGCTACAAGTTCCTGCCTAAAGTGTCAGCCGTGGCCCTTCTGGGAAGCAGAGAGCATGATGGGAAGATGAAGCATGAGGAAGTCATTACTCTATGAGGAAAGACTGTCAGGAGTCCTGAGGAAAATACCGTAGAGCAGAGAACACAAAGAGGCTGCACATGGCCAGAGGCAGAAGGGGTCCCCAGGGAAGGAATGATTGGGATGATGTAAGGGTGGACACACAGGATCTGAGAGAACACTTCAGCCTGAGGGGCAGCCCCAGAGGCACAGCAGAACATGGCCTGTGGGGAGGATGATGGTGGCCAATGGCCTTGGAGTCTCACTGAAGAGCTCCAGTCTTCCTAGAGCTGTGGTTGGCCTTCCTGGAGGGCTGAGGCAGGGCAGGTATTGAGGTACCACCTGGTCAGGCTGGCTGTGGGGAAGCAAAGATGTGCCAAGTAGCCGGAAACAAAGACAAGCTGGGTACTCTTGCAGTTGCCCAGGGCAGAGGCAATGATGCCGAAGTGGGGTGGGAGCCCTGAGAATCAACACATGGGGAGGGGAGCGAGGGATCAGGGTGACCCTTAATGTCTGACACCGGGGCCACCCTGACAATGACTTCACCCAATCTGACCCAGAACCTGCTTTTTACTGAACACCTGCTGTGGACTGGGTCCGCACAGGCGGTGCTGACTGGTTGCAGGAACCTGGGAAGTACCACTGCTGGCTTCCTCTCCTGGTGAGTCAGGCCAGCGTGCCAGACAGGGCAGCTCCACCATGCACGGACAGGCCTTTTCCACCCTGATGGGAACAGGACACTTCCACTTTGGGCTGAGTTGGGCTGAGCTCCTGGCTGCCTCCCGCAACACCTTCTGTGTTTTCTTCTGCTGTGTGACCACTCTGACCTCAGGGAGTGTCTCCACCTAGCTCCCCTGTCTCCTGTACCCCACCTGTCCTGGGAAATGTCCATCTGCTCAGCCACCCTGCTCCCCACATTCAGTTCCTCTGCAGGTCCTGGGGGCCCCAAAAGATGTCCCAGACTGTGCCCTCCTCTGTCTTGTGCCCAGCCATGGGCACTGGCCACCCCTCCCATGGGACCTTGGCAGTCACCCCAAAGCTGTACCTCCTTTCAGTCCAAGCCTTTTGAAACTGTAGTTCTCTCAGTTATTTTTCTTCTTGCTGAGACAAAATACCCAGCTCCCAAAGTTAAGGAAGGAAAGGTTCATTTAGCTCTCAGTTTGTAGAGGTTTCAGTTGGTAATCTGGCTCCAGGGCAGGTGGTATCGCAAGGGGAGAAACAGCTCATGGCAGGTGGAAGGTAGCAAAGCAAGCACAAGGGACCTGAACAGCGTCTTTGTGCCCCCTTTATGCTCATATCTAGGCCACCAGGGTTAGGGCAGTGCCAAACCCATCAGTAGTCACACACCCTTAATCCCAGTGACACATACTCTAGATTCACCCACCTCTGAAGAAGCCCCACCCAGGACCCGAGTCCTATCTTCACTCTGCTGCACCTCCCTGCAGGCAGATTCGTGTCTGTGCGATTATCTCAGGTCCACTGTTGAGTGCCCAGTCTGCACACAAGAGACATCCCTTTTTTGTGCTACTGAAATTGAACCCAGACCTCTGCACTGAGCTACATCTAAACTCACCACCGTGTTTCTGAGATAGGATCTCAGCAAGTAGCTCAATTACCCAGGTGGGGCTCCAACTTGTCACCCTCCTGCCTCAGCCTCCCAGAATGCTGGTATGCAGGTTTGTACCATACCTGGGTGAAGGGTAGCTTTTAATAAAAAGGATTAGGTAACTTTCGTTTGAGAAAAATGAGAAATTAGCACAGTTAACGCTATGAGAGTGTTATTTCCATGTTGCACATTTGTGAAGGAGGTGAGGATGACTCTAGGCCTCTTACCTGGCATGCTTGGGCTTGGTTTGGGTTCACTTAGATTTTCTGAGCCCATGAAAATGGTTCTGTGACAGTGAGGGGCTTCCATCTTCCTAGCGGCCAGCCAAACCCTCTGCACATTACCTACGATGACCCTCCACTCCACACAGCACGTGTTACTCTCCTCTCCTCCCCTCTCCCAGTGGACAGAAAGACTTTAGTGTGATTGTTGCCCTGGGTCCCTCAGTGTGGTAGTAACAGTTGGCACTGGGGCCCAGGCCCACCTCCCTCCGAAGATCCCTAGCTCCTCTATACCCCAAGCATGGGCCATTCCCTCCAGTGCTCCTTCTGATGTTTAAGTCTTTGGAAACAAAAAGGAATCTAACTTCTGTTCCCGCCCTAGTAGCCAGTGTAAATCACTGGCTCTGCCAGCAGTCACTTCATTCCTTGGGCAGGAGGGAAAGCGAGGCCATAGCACCCACCAGCTGGTGCCCTGACCTTGTCCCAGGGAGCAGGAGCAGTGGCCCAGAAGTCCCAGGGATGTCCTGGAGTGTAGCCAGCCTTGGCCCTGAGCTTGTGTTCCTTGGGCTTTGGCCACTGGCACTGAGGTGGGGGACAAATGTTGATAAAGGGAAGTGGCTTATTCTTGCAAAAGCACAGAGGGAGCTGTGTCAGCTAAGATTCTGCCTTGAACTGTGGACTTGAACAAAAGCATTTAATGGTCCAGACAGGAGAGCTGTGGCGCATGATAGAATTTGTGAGGAATTTGAGTTTGGCGCATTGACAGTGCGCAGTCCCAGGGTCTGAGAAACTCATGTGTGCTCTTAGATTCCCTCTCTGGGTCTGTTTACCAGGAGGCCAAGTGGAGGAGCTGAGCACAGGGAAGCTTAGGTAGGCTCCATCCCCACCTTCTGCTTTCTGCTTAGACACCTTCCTGGGTGCCAGTGATGATGGTGATGATGATTATGGTGGTGATAGTGGTGACAGTGGTGGAAACAATGGTGACGTGGATGCTGGTGGTAGTGGTGGTGGTGATAGTGATGATGGCAGTGATGATGGTAATGATGACAGCTGATAACAAAGACAGCTGTTTCCAGGAAAAGCCAAGCTCAGTTGGGGGTTGGGCCTGACACTCGCATCGCCTATGTTATGAGTACCACATCTGACTTGAGCACAGTCTTCAGGCCTAGCCCATGTTCCCAGTGTGGTGTCACAGGTACAGTCCAGCCCTCCGTCATGCACCAGCTTTTCCGGCCTACAGAATTTGCTTCCTAGAATGTGCTTTCTAGCAGAAGCGCCTTCCTGGTGCATGTTCCTGTGACACACCCCCACCGATGACCAGGCCCTCCCTTCCGGAGCCCATTAAATTCCCTTCAGGTAGCTTCATGACATTTGGCCTTGGTGTACATGGTGGTGTTTAGCAGATGCTTTCTAGGTTACAGTCAGCTGCGCATCTATCCTATTCGTGCTAGGTAACAAGCACTTTGGGGACAGGTTGTGCCTGGATGGTAGGGACTTATAGAAAGGGTGCTGAGGTTAGTTTGGGACCCAGCATTGTGAGGCCTTGGGCAGGGCATCTGCTTTGAAGCCTCCTTTCCAGATACACAGACACAGGTATGAGGACTCTGAAGTAACGCATGTTCGGTGTTTCACCCCTGCCGGCTGTGGGCCTGATAGCTCCCGTCCGTTTTTCTGTCTCTCCAGCACTCAGACCTGGCTTTGCATACAGACAACGCCCTCCCTCTGTTTGGAGAAGGAGTTAAATATCTAGGGAGACGTGGCTCTCCAGGTGTAGACAGCAGCTCCCTGTGCCCTGTACTTGGCGCAGCCACAGAGGCATCCCCAAGCAAGTCCCCCAGTGTGGGACCTGACAGGCACATCATCTTGGCCTCTGGGCTCTCTGAAGGAAGAACTGAGGTCCTGTTAGGGAGGACAGAGCCACAGCATCCTCTGAAGTGACAGGAGAGGCTCACCCTCCTGGGGCTCTTGGTTGCCTGTCACTTGTGGTTTCCTAGCAGGGAGGCTTGTGTGCTCCCCAGGCAGTGGGGTGGGGGATGATCCCCCCACAGCATCCACATAGGCTGGCTCAGGAAGTACTCTAGGTGCTGGCTCTGTGCTGAGCCCTGGGCTTGGTGGAGCAGGCTCAGGTGACCCCATGGGCACACATTTGAGTGGAGAGAGTTAGCCACCCAGCCGTCCAGCCACCCAGCAAAGCACCAGCACAGGCAGTGTTAGGACAGGGAGAATTGGGCCTCCTGGCCCCAGGATCCAGGCCCCGCTTTTATCAGGGAGGTAGCTGTGAACTCTCAGACAGGAAGGCTAGGGAATTGCAGGCCCAGCTGGGCCCAGGCTTGGGGATCCACAGGCCTGTGTGGGGCGTCTGGGTCACCTTCTCCTGTCCTGGTGCCATGTTCACACCCAGGCCTAGACTGTCTATGGTTTTTCGCCTGTGCAGGCTGCACTCAGATGCAGCGGTCCGCATCTGCTTGCTGGTAGTGTCTGAGTCTGCACAGCGGAAGAGCAGGCTGTGTAGCCAGAGAGACAGGCTGTGGTCTAGAAGTCAGCTGTACCAGCTTTCCCACCAAAGTTGGGTGATCTTGGGCAACTTACTTAATTTCTCCGAGTCTCAGCATTGTTGTCTGTAGAGCACACCTCGCATAACCCTTGTGAGGATGTACATGGGGTAAGGCCCTTGAAAGCACGTTGGAAGCCCTACCCCAGTGCAAAGGAGGGGCAGATGCGCACGTATGAGTGAATGATGCACACCGGCCTATCACTGTACAGCCGCTCCTCCACGAGAGGACGTGGGAATTTGTTATGTCAGGTCTAAAGAGCTAAATCCCTGAGTACAGTGTAGCTGCATGCTCAGGTGAGGTGCTAACTCCAGAAGAGTCTAGCACCACCCCCAGAGCAGCACAGCAGCCGAGGCAGGAAGAAAAACACACTCTTACAGAGTTCTCAGGTTTGATAGTTGAAGTGGGGCCGGGGAGATAGCTCGGTGAGCTAAGCACCTGCCTGGCAAGTTCAAGGACCCGAGTTCAATCCCCAGTACTGCATGCTGCGCCAGCCCCCCTACTCTATGCCAGCCACAAAAAACAGACTTGGTGGCTCATGCCTATAATCCCAGCACTGGGGAGGCTGAGACAGGAGGATCACTGTGAGCCTGAGCTGCATAACGAGACCCTGTACCAAATAAACAGAAGATTAAATTAAAAAAAAGAAAGAAAGCTGAAGCGAACGTCCTGCTGGCCCAGAGCACTGCTGGCTGGTTTCTCTCACAGGGTGAGGGAGGCCCTGTTGCAGAGGGAAGTAGGTGACAGTCCTGCTGCCCGGCGTGGCTCCTGCTTCCCCATGTGCCCTCTCCTCTCTTGCTGTCTTGTCACCACTTGCTTCTACTCTACGTCCCCTGCCCTGCAGCGTGGCCTGCTGGCGCCTCTCCCTCCTCTGCTGGCCACCCTCCCTGTGACTTCCTTCCCCAAATGTTTTCTCAGGTGGTAAAGCTGAAGGGCCAAGTGCTGTCGGTCATGTATCGATTCCGCACCAAGAACCGGGAGTGGGTGCTGATCCGCACCAGCAGCTTCACCTTCCAGAACCCCTACTCCGATGAGATCGAGTACATCATCTGCACCAACACCAACGTCAAGTACGTCCCTCCCCCACCCACCTGCCCTCGGAATGTCTGCCGTGGGCCATCGTGTCTAGGGCTCCCTCTGCCAACTGCTGTAAGTCCTGGCCAAGACTGCACAGCAAGAGTAGAGGCAGGGGGTGTCTCCCTCCTGGTTCGGAAGAGCCTATGGGACTGCGTACGTGGGCCCAGAAATGCTGCTGGCCTTCCTGGTGTTTCTCCCAGCTCAGTGCCCTGCAGAGTGGGGCTCTCCAGGGTATACTTCTCTGCTCCCTGTGTCTGTGGCAGCCAGGCTGGAGGAACTGCCTTGGGCAGCTATGGGCTCATCTGGGTACTGAGTGCTCGCGAGTGGCGGACAGATCTGTGCTCTGGCTTGGCCCTGCACTTACTAGCTGTGTGACGGAGCCAGCCGTGTCCTCTCTTAGCCTTCATATCTAGCTCAGTGAAGGTGGGATGTCCCTCCTTGTGAGGTTTCCATAAGGGCAAAGGGCTAGGCTGAGAGCTGTGGTTGGCCCGGCTCACGGTGTCAGCTTGGGGCACGATAAGGGCAGCTGTGCCTTCTCTCTGCTTTCAGCTTCAGGGAAGTACACATGGCCTGGATGCGGGATGGCGCGACCTTTGGCTTGCACCTTGTGGGTGGTTTGAATGTGGCATACACTAAACAGGAGCCACGCTTTCACACATTAGAATGTGGGGCTGGTGGCTGAGGGTGTGGCTCGGCTGTGGGGGGTTCACCGGGGCACTCCTCCAAGAGAGTATGTGAGAGTTTTTTTACGTAAGCTATGAAGAACTAAATCCTTGAGTGCAGTGTAGCTGCATGCTCAGGTGAGGTGCCAACTCCAGTAGACTAGCACCAGCCCTGGAGCAGCACAGCAGCCGAGGTAGAGAGGAAAACACACCCTAACAGAGTTCTCAGTTTTGATTGCTGAAGTGAACGTCCTGCTGTCCAAGAGCATTGGTAGCTGGTTTCTCACACAGTGGTGAGAAAGGCCCTGTTTCAGAGGGGAGCAACAGTGCATAGCTATGACACCAGTAGGAAGACGTGGGCAAAAGGATGTCCCTGCCGACGTGGCTGGTGAGGCCCACTATGGGTGACAGATGTGCTGAGAACTGTCCTCATACTTCCTGCTGTGGTCAGTGGTACCACTTTCCTGCATTGCCCCGGGTTCCAAACCCAGTGTGACCCTGTTCGTGAGCCGCTGCTTCTCCCCACTTCAGACCCACAGTGCTGCCTCTTTCTGTCTGCCGCTGCCTTCTCTGAGCCCCTTGGATACAGGAGCCCTGTCTGGATTAGGGAAGCAGCTTCCTGCCCCAGGTAGCAGCAGCTCTGTGTCCTCAGCCTCGCCTAGCTCCAAGACACAAGGCACAGGACAGGAAACAGGTCCACACGAGAGCCCTCTGAGAGCAGGTGGCATGGGTTACAATCCCAGCTCCCAACTAGGCAAGACACTCCCTTCTCAGCCTCTATCACCTCCTCTTTCCAGTGGGGACAACAGAACCTGCTCCCCCAGAACCTAAGGGTTTGAAGCAGGTCCTGGGCTGGTGCTGCCTATATAGTGCTTGGATTGAGCAGGAAAAGCTCTCTGTGGACAGTAGAGGGCAGTGATGGCCACAGAGGCGAGCAGGCTGCCCTTTTTAGAATTCGTGGAGCTGAACTTCCCTCGTGGCAGACTTGAGAGGAACAGATCCTCTAAAAGCATGCGCCAGTCCTTGAGCTCAGAAAGCATCCAAAAGAAACTTCCTGGAGACCCTGAGCGGTGCCTGGTTAGCATTTGTGCGAGGCTGCTGAAAAGGCCTCTTTCTCAGCTCTGATTCTTTCATGTTCCATCCATCCGGAAAGGAGTCCAGGAAACACAGGAATCCACATTTTGTTACACCACTGGGTCTCAGGGTCTGGGGTTGACGCTGCTGGGGGTGGACACTGTTTCCCAACACCAGTCATGAGCTGACTCTGAAGTCAACAGCCTGGTGTTTTCACACTCACTGCCTGGCTGCCATGAAAGGGCCCACACTCATCTCTGTGTGTGTGTCCTGGGGCCCATCCCTCGTGTCTGTGGTTATAGGGTTTCATGAGCCCAGTACTTTTTATACAGCTCTGTGTGTGTGTGTGTGTGTGTGTGTGTGTGTGTGTGTGTGTGCTTAAAGTCCCACCAAGCTCAGAGTCACATTTGAGTTTCTCTGAGCTGGTTGGCGATCACCTTCTTTAGTGATGGTTGGTACTGGTTACCTGGTTAGTAGTACACACAAGGCCTAGAGCAGGGGTGGGTGCAAAGGAAGGGAAAGGAAAGGAAGGGAGAGATTCCTGGTCTCTTCAGCGTTTAGAGCTAGTGAAGGGCTGAGACACTCAGTCGCCAAGCCTGAGTTGTCCCAGGGCTCTAGGCTCCACCCAAAACTCTCTGCCATCCTCGTCCCGTGGCCAGATGGAAGCTTTTGCCATCTCACAGGTCTCCTCTGCGCCTAACTGGCTCCCCTTTGCTTCCTTCAGTCTCTGTGTGCCAACTCACCAGTCCCAGGGAGCAAGCTCAGAAACACATGCAGGCCATGTTGTCCCTGCCCTGACCCACCAGTCCCAAACCTTTCCCTGGCCCTGGACAGCACTGGCAGCCCCTCTGCCAGAGCCTGCATGCTCCAGCTGGGTTCTGGTTGCCTCTGATGTCCCCCTAAGGGGTTCCATGCTCCCTTTTGCAGGCTGAGTGAACCCCTCTGTCCAGGAAGCATTGGGGGTCACTGGCAGCCCCACTAGCACCAGCACCTGCTGGCAGGAAGCAGCTGGAAAGCTACCTTGCAGCCCTGGCATTCTGTCCTGCACAGCTCCCTCCTCTCTGAAATGTACGAGCTCCCTGAGGTTTGCTTTCACAGGGGGCTGAAGTGTCTGACAGGCTCCTTTCCCACCTCGGGACAGTGCCTCTTCTGCACTGCTCAGCTGCAGAGCCGGAAGTACATGGGGGGGGGGGATGGAGACGCTGATGTCTACCCCACGGGGTCACGGGAGCGATGCTGAGGACTTGCCAGCCGCACCAAGACCCCATTCTCTCCTCCCCCAAAAGGCCCTTCCCTTCCGTGCTTCAGGGGCCCAGAGAGGACCAGAACTGAGAGCAGAGAGCAGCCTCCTCCAGCACCCTGCGCCCCACGTGCACTGAGAAGCAGGTGCACTTCCTCCCCAGGTGCTCAGATGGGCGAGGGGAGCGCGTGTGCTCTGCTAACCCCTCAGCAGGCTCGGCTGGGAGCACACCACGTGGCCCTGCCTACCTGTGCTCCTGGGTCAGGGCTGGCATAGCAGGTGGGAGGAGCTCTGCTGCCTGGAATAATGCCCTGCCGGAGGCTGGGCTCTGGGGAAGGGGAAGAGTGTCTGTGGACTCCTGCTGTGGAGAGAGGCTCACTGCTTCATCCCTCAAAAGTCCAAGGTGCAGGCTTTTTTTCTCCAAGATGCTCTCCAGCTGTCCGTGGCTCTGGAAAGGAAGATATGGGAGAGCAGTCCCCATCTCAGCTGTGGGTTTTAGCCCAGGCCAGGGCGGCAGCCTGGTCTATGGCCCAGTGGGCTTGGGTGTGAGCCCGTGTATGCCATGTTCAAGCATCTGAGCAGGTCCTGGTTTGATTCCCCGAGAGCCACCCAGTGACCCTGTTGGCCACCTCACCACCTCTGACTTCCACTCTGTAGTGTTGGAGGTGGCTTGGGGGACTACAAGGATGTGCGGTGTGAGGCCATCTGAATGCCTGCCAGTTACAAGCGAGCCTTAGCTGGAGGAGTGAACTCCTTTGTTCCACATTAAATCTAACTATGTTTCTGAGTTTCACCTTACAAGGAATTCTTCATAGTGCGGTAACATGAACCCTGCATAAAATGAAGTCATACATCAAAACCTATTTAAGTTTAGCATGGTCATCTCCAGTCGAAGCAAAGGGGTCTGATGCAGTAAAAATAAGATAGAGTGGAAACCATTTGGGAGAGAGAGCTGGTGGGTGCCACCCACTGTGACCTGGGGACTGGTGCCCTAGCTCCGGGCTCTCCCTGTCTCCTCACACCTCTGTCTACTTCTGCTCCACAGGCAGCTGCAGCAGCAGCAGGCAGAGCTGGAGGTACACCAGAGAGATGGGCTGTCCTCCTATGACTTGTCTCAGGTGAGCTTCTGGAACATTCTGTCCTGCATGGAGCTATCTCTTACCTAGAACTTGTATACCCTCTCCTCCGCACTATATGGAGCACTGGGTCCCCGGGGCCTATGGACGTCACACAGGCCCTGCTGAGCCTCTGGGACTCACACTCTCAGAGACCAAGATAAGTGGGTCTGACCACTGCCCGTGCCACCCATCTTGGGTCCCGTGTCCATTTCTCCTCAGGTGCCCCTTGAAGTCACACTGTGTCTCCTCAACTTCCTGTTCTGTCTCACCTGTCCTTTTCCCTTTATTTCTCTCTCCCTTTTCTTTTCTTTTCTTTTCTTTTCTTTTCTTTTCTTTTCTTTTCTTTTCTTTTCTTTTTTTTTCTTTCTCTGTTTCTGTCCCCAGCTTCTGAAACTGGACTAACAGAGAAACTGGCACTAGTCAGCATTTAACAACTCTTTCTTGAATTATACTTTCTGTTCCCTGTTTTTCTATTCATCTTTCTCTAAGAAAAAGTAACTATTGTGACTCCTGTCTTCCTTTGACAAGGGTACACCTCAGACTGGCTGTCCCTGCACTCAGAGATAGCACAGCCCTCACTTTGTGAAAACACTCAGGCTGGACGGGCCGGCAGCCCCAGGACAGGGCACTGCCAAAGGAAAGTGGTAACTGCCTCACACACTGGTGGTGTTCTTCAAATGTGCCAACAGGTCCCAGTCCCCAACCTACCTGCTGGTGTTCATGAGGCTGGCAAGTCAGTGGAAAAGGCAGATGCGATTTTCTCCCAGGAGAGAGACCCCCGGTTTGCTGAGATGTTTGCAGGAATCAGTGCTTGTGAGTTTCTGAGTGGCTCAGGTCCTGGGGGTGGGCTTTGTGGTTGCTCTTCAGCCATCTGAAGAGCGTTGTTCTTGGGGGGAGGTTCACAAGGGGGGTTGAGAGCAACCTGGGCAGGGTGCAGGAAGAGTCCAGGGGCAGGAGGTCGCAGGCATGGGAGGTCGAATGAGTTCTCCGCAGTTCTGACCACACTTCCTACTTTCTGGTTACCTGGGGTGCTGGCAGCTCATGTTTGAAATTTAAGGGATTGGGATGCATTAGCTACTAATCCACTATGAGTATACATTTATTATTAAGCCGAAGGTGTGTCCCTATTAAAAACTCTAACTTAATCCATAACAAAAGACCACATTTTAAAATTAAAATCCAAAATAACAGAAAAACAACAGTGATCCACTCTCGTACCACCTGTATAATTATTTTTGACTTTTTAGAGTGTGTCCTTCTGTCTCTTTCTATATATGTTTTCTTTGTGTATATAAAATTGAACTTGTCTTGTTGAAAAGCTTGCTTTTTTATGTGACAGTTTATTATGAAAGTATCTCCACAACATTAAACAGTCCTAAGCATTTTGTTACCACCGTAGAGTTTCACTGTGTAGAGGACAGAACTCACCCAGCAGCTCCTCTGTGGCTGTCGTTAGGTTGTTCATCACATCAGTGTCACTGCAGAGGACTGGTGCCACCACGTGGGGCTGCCTCAGTCTCCCACCCAGAGCTCCAGAGTTTGGTAAAGTAGGAAATATACAAAGGCCTTTGTTGGTTCCAAAGTCACAAAAAAAAAAAATCCATCTGCACATGGTCCAGGCATTTCTGTGAGAAGGTTCCTTAGGCAGGGCTGCTCGTAGGAGAAAAGGAAGCACAAACGATGCTGTGGTTGGAGGGGACCCCGATTCTCCTTCTAGGATGAAGATGTGAGGTGGCCACCGGGCAGTGGGGGCTGTGGCCTGGACACACCTCTGTCCTCAAGTGTGCACCCTCGTGGGAGAGCAGAGCCTGCATCCCGTGGGGCTGGGACCGAGGCTCAGGATGCAAGAGCAGTGCCAGTGCCCCCTCGCTGAGGACAAGAAGGGCCAGCACAGTGCAGACCACTAGAAACTGGCACCAGGAAGCAGAGCCCTCAGCGTAAAGTGCGCCAGGGATGTTCACCGCCGCTGGTCCCGGACCACCCAAAGGTGCCAGCGTGTCATCTCTGCGGCAAGAAGGGACAGGAGCACACGATACATCTGTCCTCCCTGCAGTAAGCCACAGCATCTCTGAGAACCATCTGAAGTTTTAATCTGATACATGAACACGTCTTCTGACAGCAATGACAAAGCAGGAAGAAAAGGAGGAAAGGGGTAAGCAATCCAGGGAGAGCAATCAGGTGAAGGTCCTTCTTTAAGAATGAATTTTACAATAAAGAGGAGGAAGTTCAGGAAGTCCCCAGCATCGCTCCTCCGGGAAACTCCAGAAGGAACTGTCCCGTTTTGAGGACGTGTCACCCACGGGGGAGATGGGGCAAATCAGGCTGATACCGTGGTGCAGAAATCCAAGTGAGTAAATTAGAAAAAAATAAGAATTCCCCCAAGGACAACATGGGTCTTCCAACTGCAAGCGCTCCGTGCATGCCTGACTAAAAAGGTCAAGAAACTCACACCTCAATATAGTCTATTGGATTAGTCACTTTTTAAAACTTTGATTCAGATCGGGAAAACCTTGTGAACAGCCACGAAGGGAACTCTACACTTAGACTTCCTTGGGATACTAAGTGTATCCAGAGAACTAAGAAGGAAGACATAATCCCAGAGTTCTTCACCAGCCAAACTGCTTTCCTAGACAGAAAGACGTCTTCAGACATGCACTGGCTGCCTGTCCTGTCTGAAGACATCAGTTATAAGAGGTTGCACTTGTTTCTATGTGAACCCAAGGTGAACAGCACCTGGAATTGTTAGATGATGCCAAGATAAACAACAAAAGCTGCAATTTCAAATCAGTTCAACAAAGATCCAGATATTTTTTGGACTGAGGGTAGCAAACAGACAAATTTCTGGTTGGTGTGTATTATCACTGGCATTTATGGAGAAATTCAGAGCTTCATGTATGTTTATACTCAACTGTTGAGGACAGTATTTTTTAAAGAGGGAGGCAGGCAGGCAGGGAAGAAAGAGGCCTTACTTCCAAACCACTTCCAGAGAAATTGTTAGCAAATTGTAAAATTCCCAGAAGGAAAATAAAATGAGATGGCGTGAAAGTGTGGCTATCAAGCAAGATGAAGCAGGCTGAGGCCCAGGGCCTGCAGGTTGGCTGCTCCTGCGGGGGGTGTGCTCTCGGGTGCGGCAGAGCCAGCGAAGCAGAGTGGGCCGCGGAGGTGTTCTGTGAACCCCGGGGCAGAGGGAAGGAGTCTTCACAGCACCTCGTGGGTAAGCGATTGCACCATGCAGGTGGAAGGAACAGCCCAAAAGGAGGGTATAAATATCGTGAACCCTGGAACGCGGGGAAGCCAGAATCACTGCAAACACAGGAAGACGCTGATAAAGCCAAGTTGGACGAGATCATCTCTGTGTGCCTTTCTTCATCTTTCCAGAGCAGGTAGATCAAAATAATAAAGATAAAAAGACTGAATAATATAGTCAAAGATGCATATGCTCGCGCACACACACACACCACACAGATGCACGCATAGTCTTGTACCTTACTAATGACCAATGTTTTAGAGTAGTAAGAAAACCCATATTCATTATTTATCCAAACTGCCAAGAATCTTAAAACAGAAAACAAGAATAGGCTTAGTGGCCTAAGTCGACCTCCGCCTGCAGTTTCTAGCCTTGTGTGTTCTCCTCTGCTCCTGCTCCTTACCCAAAGCTGAAGGCCAGGGCCTGAGCGGCGATGCAGGTCCAGGAGCCTGGGCACCTCTGTCGCTAAGGACTTGCACTGCCTCACGGCATCATAGAACACAGCTAGGGGCCAGGAAGCGGCTCCGTGGCCCCTCTGCTCTGAGCTGTCCCAGAAGCTGTGCACATGGGGGAGCCCTGGCTCAGGCATGGCTTCCTACCCAAGGCCCCAAGCCCGAGCACCCACCTCTGCCCTGCTGCTGCAGCACCCCGAGACAGAGGCACAAATGGGCCAGAGTCTGGAGGCAGAGATCGCCCTGCAGCTGCTCCTTACACCCTGTCTCCAGTTGCGTACCGCAGGCGGGGGGTGGTAGGGATTAGAGGCGCAGGTATTCTGAGATTTGGGGACGGAGGGCAGATGTATCCCCAAGCCTACATGTTATAGTGAAGGGCTACCTCCCGGCCCGTGTCTGTCCTTGTTCCCGCACACATTCCTCACTGGGTCGTGAGCAGCTTTAGATGCTCTTGGCTGTGTTACTACACTCATTCTTAAGCATTCAACTCTGTTCACACCCTGGGTTCCTTTT